ATGTCAGTGAACATTAACAACTAAGTATAGTAGCTGCCCATTGGCAATCTTCATATTAATAACTTCTATTTAAATCTTCAACATCTTGTGGAGCAGCATAGTATTATATTTCTTTTTCCATGATTATGGCAGTCAAGTTGTGTTACAGTCTAACTGTGCAGGCATAAAATTGAATTGCCATAATTTATTGAATAAGTTGAAAGTTATTGTTCAAATTTACTGGCTAACTTATATTTATATAAGTTATATATATTTAAGTTTCTTAAACTGAAATCTAGGAATAATTGTGAAATCTGGCCAGGCAGGTAGGATGTCCTTAGATTCCTAATAGCTCTAAATTATACAGAGTGCTAGCACCCATATTATTCCTGTGTCATTTATTATGTTATTTATTTTAATTATAGTTGTATTTTTGCAGTTCAAGTAGAGATAATGTAACTTGCTATAAAATGTTACTTAATATCAAGTCTAATTATGGTTTTTTTTGTACTTCTAAATAGATGGGTTGTGACTATTGTTATTAAGTCTAAATCCCTCGTAATGTAAGTCAGGCATTTGCAACTGCTTATGCAACATTAGCAACAAATTGTTTCCTTCTGTCTTTTTTTCCATTCTTTGTTAACCTGTGTCCTCACCTTAGTTGCTTAGCAGCCCATAATAACCAAAATGAAACACTTGATGTTCCTGCTAGGATATTTAGCTTGGCATTTTATCTGGTTTTGCCCCATAGATTATGCTACTATTAGTGGTAGATTATGCTGTTGCAGCATCAAGATTGTTAAATAGGAGTCCGAATCCAAACCATCTGGTCAGCATCAGCTTACCATCATTGGCTCAGAAACTCTAGAAGAAACCTGTTCTATCAACATCATGATTAGAATAGTAGTCTTAAGTCACCAAGATACCGCATTTTGTAACCCTAAAATGGAGGCATATTCAGAAAACTCCCTAGGTAGAGCATTCTAAAAATATGTTTGTATAGATATAGAGTTCATTATGTACTTATTTAATATATTTTAAAACAGGTATAGGCAAAAATATTAGGAAATTAAAATAAGTATGAAATTAAATGATACTATTTAATTATTTTCAGTAATTTAAATTATAATTAGGATTCATATTAAAAAAAATCACATTAGGGACTTTATTATGCCCTTATGACACACTGCAGCATGATTTATGTATTGCTTTTTGTACTTCTAGATCTAGAACTTGAATTTTAAAAATTAAAATATTAAGAACTTTTAGTTTTGAAAATGAATGAAAGTAAACAAAATGTCAGAAATATGCAACAAATTGTTCAAATTTCTGTGAAAAAGATAAAACAGCACATAAATTGTTTAGAAATCTACTCATAAACAAAGTATGTATAATTTAGCTAATTGGACAAAAACAAACACCCATGATCTGAAATAGTTTATGTCTTTCCCAGCACTTTTGCCTTCGTTGAATTGATCCTAAGGCTATGCCTGATATTTGTTAGTTACTTGGATAAGTATTTATGAAAATTATCAGGATTCTGCAAGTCTCCCTAGATGCATTGTGGCATTAATACTTTCTAGAACAGTATTTCTCAACCTTGGCAGTTTGAAGATGTGTGGACTTCAACTCCCAGAATTCCCTAGCCAGCATAGATGGCTGGGAAATTCTGGAAGTTGAAGTCTACACATCTTCAAGCTGCCAAGGTTGAGAAACACTGTTCTAGATGAAGCAAATATAACCCATAGGATTGTGCTCTTTTGTCAGCATTTTTTCATAGATCTGAATTTATTTATGTGAATGTAATACAAAGATGTTTTGGGTCTAAGCTTGTGACTGTTTTTAATAACCTTCATGTCAAGATATCCTGAGCCAGTTAGATTTTGCTCTTGTACTGGAAACCACAGTGTGGTTACCAAACATGCACAGCTCAAAATAGGTCATGTGTTTGCCAGCTTGAGGGTCACACTGAAATAACCTTACTTTAAAAATAACCTTTTTTCCATTATAGGGTTCTTCTGTTCTTTTAGCAGTCAGTTTTGAATATATTTGTCCTGGCTGGCAGTTTCAGTTTCATCTAAATTTATAAAGTTTGTTGTTGTTTATTGCTTCAGGATACTGAATTTCAGTATTGAAAAATCAGCTGTGACATTTTAGTCATCCAGGATAAAATGCATTGTTTCAGTATAAGGATTGTCATCTCTTAGATTGTCCATGTGATATTATTTGTTCAATACAACTTCCTTGTGCATTTGTATTTTATAAATATGTTGTGGTTATTTCTCTTTGGTTTCTGCTGGTTAATGACTGTGATAAAGCTATTTGGATTTCCTTTTGGTACAATTCAGTGATTCTGATTTCCTAATTTTTATATTATTTCTAGTTTGTTACCTTAAAAATTGGTATTCTAGAGCCTGAGAGTAGCCACTGTCTAAGAGGTAATAACTGAGCCCTCCAATCATGCAGATTGCTATAGACATCTTTCATGAATTAGATTTATTTTGAATCCCCACACCAAAAGTAAGAAATTAAATTGTCTATTGTAATGAATGGTTTTAATTCATGGTTTCTTTTCTTCTGTTAAATGAACTGCGAACACAAGAGACACCGTCCTTGTTGAAGCCTCCCCTGACATCATTTTTTTCAGATCTTCTCAAAATAAAATTTGTGCTAAAACAAGCACAGTGGCCACATCTTTCATTTGGCAGGAATGATAAGATACTTGAGGGTCATTTTCCAATAGCCTTGGCGTGCACATGCTACCCTGATAAAGCTTGAACAAGCAGTCCTCCTTTTTACCAAGATTCACTATCTACAATTATTTATTTATAAAATGAATATGGTGTTGAATCCAAATGACTTAAGGTGGCTTACAATCAAAACAGCATCCGTACCAAAATGTACACAACAATACATACATTATATGCATATAAGCTAACAATTAATACCTTAGAATTGCATGCCTACTTTCAAGAGTGCAAAATGCATAGTGAACATTACCTTTGTGTTAGTTTCAAATTGGCAAAATATTTGGAGAAATTTTGCTTATCTTATTGTGTGCTATGCCTGCATTGGAAATGGGTATTGCATATTTTAAAGTTTTATTGTCTCATATATGCATAAGGAATCTGTAGCCCTCCACAATTGTTGGATTTCAGCTCACAGCAGCCTCAGCCATTATAACCAGTTGTAAGCTGAGACTGATTCTCTACTCCATTTTGTGGCTTGTGGAGGATTTCACTTCATTTCTAAATCTATTACTATAATTGACTTCAAACAATCATTTGAGGTCATTTACTTGCTAATTTTAGCCTACAGTCAGAGTCCTTTTCCAAATTTAATTTGTATAACCAAGACTGATGGCAAAATTCAGATTCATGTGATTTCTGATTGAAGTTGTTCCGCTAATATGAATAGTTATTAGTGTTTTGAAATAAATCTCATATCTAACTGCTAAGAGAAATTTATACAAGTTCTAGCAATGTAATAGAGTCTTTTAGGGAACCCCATGAGATAGGTGAGAGTGAGTGAGAGAAAGATATTGCTGGTTATATTTTGTACTGGCAATGAGATTTCAAACTTTGTAGTTGTGTAATTGGAGGAAAAAGAAAGAGCTAAACTTCTGAGAAAGCAAAGAAACCAAGAACAGCAGAGCCAACAGACTCAAGAGGTGAAAAGATTAACCCTATGATACTAGAGTGATCAGCTGAAATTCTTTTATTTCTAAGCTTTGCTTTCACAATGGGAAATAGTCTAAACTGGATAAGATAGATGCATCATGTTTTCATATAAAATTCTCATAATTTTGGCAATTAACAATTTTTAAATAATTTTGCTTGAAAAATTCAGCATATATATATATAGTCCTTGTTTAACTACCACAATTGCATAATACTAAGTGGGAAATCATGTGACTGTGCTTAAGATTTTACTGCAGCTTTCCTTTTCCCCCACTCCCCCACCCTTTGGAATGCTTACCTAAGCCCTGGGATAATTAGAAGAAGGGAATTAATGTTTGTATTTACATTCATTAAGGCAGCAAGGGATTGCAAAAGAAAAAGCAGGCACAGGATGGGGAATACATTTTGAAAGGAATGCACAGCCCCAAGTGCATTAGGCAAACAGACTGCATTAACACATTCTTTCAATGGGTATTCCCCATCATGTGCTTGCTTTCTCTCTTTTTGTCCCTTCCTCTCCAATCTCTCTGCTCTACAAAAGGGAAAAAGAAAAGAAGAGGGTGAGGTATAGGACAATGTGTACTAATTGACTGTAATGGAGAATATGTGACTGAAGGAGGTGCTGCAAAGATTGTAAATGAATGCCATGGCCGCAAAGTTATTTTTTCAGCATTGTTGTAACTTTGAACAGTTGTAGTATAAGAAAATTAGCAAGCAAGATTTAACTCTGGTAATTACTATTCAAAAGTTTGGTAACATAAATAGGTTTAAAAATTTGCATTCAGCACTCAATGTAAATTTAATTCTGATTTTCTCTCCAAGAAAGGATAGTCACTTCTTATGTGTGGAAAATATGCTGCTTTATTCTCAGAAATTTATTTAATTGTCAGTATCAGGAATAGTATTTTAAAGATTAGGCTAGAAGACCAAATTTAAATTCAGTGTTCATAACACATTTTTCGTAGATCTGTTCCTGTTGTTGAATAATTATATTTTGTGTAGAGGGACTCCATAGATAAGATACATAGGTTGAATAATGGAATTTCTGTTCAACTAATCATTGAACAATTAGTTTAGATGAATTATTTTAAAACAGTTAAGGTATTTAAATAAGATGTCGTACTTGATCACAGAAGATATTGAATATCCTTGGACCAATCACTGTGTCTCAGCCTAACATAGCGTGTTTTGAGCACAATTTGATGAGATTCCAGTAACTACTACCTTGAACTTCCTGAGGAAATATATACTAAAAATGTGATATTAAATAAACCACATATTTGACCTATATACTAAAAGTTATAGAACAATAAATTCTAATTCACTTTTTTCCTTTTATAGATGCCTCTTCAAATGAACAACAAGTTCTCTTCTGTCAGAAATTACAGCAGTGCTGTGTATTATTTGATTTCATGGACTCTGTCTCTGACTTAAGGAGCAAAGAAATTAAAAGAGCAACACTGAATGAATTAGTGGAGTATGTTTCTACAAATCGTGGTGTGATTACTGAATCAGCATATTCAGAAATTGTAAAAATGGTAAGTCAGTCATGTGAACTATAACTCCTTTAAAAGGATTTAGAAATGAAATTTATTAAAGACTTGTCTGTCTTCTGAATTGCCTTTTTTGTGGCAATTAGATAGTGCTTTTGCTGCTCTTGTAGTTAAAATTAAAATTGGTCTAAAGGGTGATTTTTTCACACTAATAAATAGCTTGTTCGATTACTTATGATATAAATGAAAAGTTTCCTACTGATGTTATTTTTTCACTTGGATTCAATTTAGATATCAGTAGGACCCACTGAAAACTCTGATAATATTAAGTGGGAAACATAAGCATACATTCAGAAAAACTGAAATAAAATGGAATATTTTATATGTAAAAGTATACCTTGCCTCAGTTCTACTGTACTGCATTTTAATTTCTAGCTTCTTGTGGTATTACCTTGGTTCCTCCTTGTTCAGTACCTTGTGACATACAAACCCCTTTATCTTTGCACTGTCAAAATTTAGTTTTAGTAGTGCGATGGCTAAAAATCAATGATAACAGTTTATTATCACACTCAGGAGGGAAACAATGACAGTTTTGCTTTAAGACTCAAAAAGCCTTACTATAGTTTAAACAAACAAGGGACCTTGTTGTATAATTTGGAAATATAAAAATCTGTGGAGCTCTCTTAATCTGTAATATACATCTTGTTATTTTCCATGATCATGTGCTTATCAGTCTTCAATTTTGCAGAAAACAAATCAAATTAAATACTCCTCCTCCCTCACAATATTTAAGTGTAGCTTTTGGTCATCAAAATGTTGCCTATGCTGGTAGATATTAAAGTTTTTCAAGGACAAGATTGAACCTTGCGAAGCCCCAGGATTCGGTTCTCCCTTCTAGGAGTCTGGTACATAGAATGAAAACAAACAAACAAAAGTAAAGCTAGCTAGCTAGATGTGGGGTTAAATAAAAATTCACAATATTTCCTTCTCAGGAGTATAGAGTATTTGGATCTGAAGTGCTGCTTATTTAAGGAACCACTGACAGGTAGTGAACACTGTACCCATACCCATACTGAATCTATCCCCACACTGGTTCTGTAAATGAACATTATGGAAGACAAAGCCATGGAATGGTCAAAGAGAATAATCAGAATTGCACTTTGCTTATTTAGTCACCCCATAGAAGTTAAAACGGGATTGGCAGGGATCTAGAAATGGATATTAACTTGAAAAGATTTCCTGTCAGCTGCCCATGTCTTTTAGATTCTAAAAATCTTGTTTGTTATATTTTGCTACACTAGCAAAATCAGTTTGTAAAGGTACAGCTGACGTTCTTCGAAAACAGCTGGCTTTCAGTAGGCAAAGCTGAACTGAAGGAGTGTGTACCCATGCATAGCTTTGTATGTAACAAAATAACAGAGTTGGAAGGGACCTTTGAAGTCTTCTAGTCCAGGGCTTTTCAACCAGTGGTACGGGTACCACCTGTGGTACATTGGCACCTGGCAGGTGATACGCAACCACCCTAGAAAAGTAGCGGGGGAGGGGAATGAGCTGAACTGGTGGCAGCACCGCACAAGACTGAGTGAGAGATGGCTGGAGCTGCAGGGCTGTCAGGGCTCAGTGGAAGTGCCAGGATCAGCACCAGGCTCCAGCTGGAGCTTGTCACTGATCCTGGCGCTTCTGCTGAGCCCAGAAGAAGCGCCAATCAGCTGGAATGTTGCAGCATATCCAGGGTCTTGTGATTTACATTCAGATGCTTGGCAACTGATTCATATTTATGATGGTCACAGTGTCCCAGGGTCATGTGAAGTGACCAAAACCTGCTGCAACCACCCAGCAGACGGGGGGAATAAAAACCAAACACCCCCCACCCCACCCCCGCTGCCAATCCTCAACAGAAATGCTCACAACAATGAAAACCTCAGACAGGAGGAAGAGCGCCACCGGGTGCAGGCAGGTGTCTTGCTCAGCTGTGGCTTGGGGGGGCACTTTTTTCAGTGCCATTGTAACTTCGAACAGTCACTAAGTGAACTGTTGTAAGTCGAGGACTACCTGTACTTTATCACTTTTTTCCTTTTTTTTTTTGGTCATCAAGTTTTTGACACCTTGCTAGGCGACTGGTGGTACTCGGATATTGCCATATCCTAAAGGTGGTACAATGGGTGAAAAGGTTGAAAAGTCCTGTTCTAGTCCAACCCCCTGCTCAGGCAGAAACCCTATACCAGGGGTAGGCAACCCAAAACACTCAAAGAGCCACTTGGACCCGTTTCCCACTGAAAACAAAACACTGGGAGCTGCAAAACCCTTTTGATATCTAAAATAAAGATAACACTGCATATATATATGCAGGTCTTGGCGTATTCGGGTCTTTTCCCGTGTAAGATTGAGAGTATCTTGGCGACATTTCGACGAGGTCCCACTCGTCATCTTCAGGCTGGGGTCTTTGGCTTCGTGCCTGTGCGAGCAAAGTGTGATCGGAGCTGCCGTCTCTCTGTAAATACTGGTGTGTGTGTGTGGAGTGCTGGCTTAGTTGCTGTAGGTGGATTGGTTGGCTGTGTGGGAGCCATTGTTTGTGGATTGTTTGGCTGTTTCGTAACATCCTGAGTAGTTGAGGTGCTGGCTATGTGCCCATTAGTCTTTTGTGCTATAACGACCTGGGTAATGGGTTGTGTGATTACATCCTGAGATCTAGTGTAGTGATATCCTGAGTTTTGTGTTGCAACATCCTGGGTGGTTGGCTGTGTTGTAACATCATGAGCTTTAGCGTTGTAACCTCCTGAGTTCTGTGATGTGATGTCCAGGGCACACAGCCAGCACCTCAACTACTCAGGATGTTACGAAACAGCCAACCAATCCACCTACAGCAACTAAGCCAGCACTCCACACACACACACCAGTATTTATAGAGAGACGGCAGCTCCGATCACACTTTGCTCGCACAGGCACGAAGCCGAAGACCCCAGCCTGAAGATGACGAGTGGGACCTCGTCGAAATGTCGCCAAGATACTCTCAATCTTACACGGGAAAAGACCCGAATACGCCAAGACCTGCATACCTGTACCCGTGAAAATCTACGAAAACATATATGTCCTTAATATCATTAAATATGATATAATATATGTGTGTGTGTGTGTGTGTATCATAAAGGTAAAAAAGGATATATGCAGTCTTATCTTCATTTTAGATGTCAAAAGGGTGTCTTTTTCTCCCTCTCTCTCTCTCCCTTCCTCTCTTTCCTCTCTCTCTCTCTCCCTCCCTCTCTCTCTCCCTTTCTCTCTCTTTCTCTCTCTCTCTTTTTCTCTCTCTCCTCTCTTTCTTTTTTTTTTCAATATAAAATTTTATTATTTTTCATCATAAAAAAAAAAAGATTTTCACAGATACTACACAATGCTATTAAAAAACCCCCCACCCCCCCGGACTTCCCAAACCTAATCCCAGGATAATATTCAAATATAAGTAAACAAGTATTAATATCTCTAACTCCACAAGGTATATTATTCTACATGAGTAGGTAAAATATATTAAAAAAAAAGAAAAATTTTTCTAAAAACCTAAGTTATATTCCACCACTCTATGCTTCTTTTGAATATAAACAATCCATCTTCTCCATATTAATAAAAATTGTTCATTTGAGTAATTCTTCAAATAAGCCGAAATCTTTGCCATCTCAGCAAGGTACGAAACTTTCAATCTCCAGTCTCTCTCCTCTCTTTCTCTCCCCCCCTCTCTCTCCCTCTCTCCAATCTTCTGCTCACCTGGCAAGCTGGCTTCAAGCTGTTCTCCAACAAGCTCAGGGGTAGGCAACCTCGGCTCTTTTATGACTCATGGACTTCAACTCCCAGAATTCCTGAGTCAGCATAGCTGGGCTAGCTAGCTCTCTCCTGCCCTTCCTGCTTCCTGCTTCCTGCAGAGACGCAGCAAAGGGAGGAGCCCTGCCCAAAAAGCTTTTCAGCTTGTCGGAGAACAACGTGAGTCCACTCTCTTTTACACACACACACACACACACACACACACACACACACACACACACAGAGAGAGAGAGAGAGAGAGAGACAGACAGACAGACAGACAGACAGACAGACAGACAGACAGACAGACAGACAGACAGAGACAGAGAGAGAAGCAGGGAAGCGCAAGTGCCTCTCTCTGTCTCTATCTCTCTCTGCAAATGGCAGAGGAGGCTGGGAGCCACAGGGGAAGGCTCAAAGAGCCGCATGCAGCTCCGGAGCTGCAGGTTGCCGACCTATGCCCTATACCATTTCAGACAAATGGCTGTCCAGTCTCTTCTTAAAAACTTCCATTGTTGGAGCTTTCACAACTTCTGGAGGTGTAAGGTGTTCCACTGATTAATTGTTCTAACTGTCAGGAAATTTCTCCTTAGTTCTAGGTTGCTTCTCTCCTTGATTAGTTTCCATCCATTGCTTCTTGTCCTGCCTTCAGGAGCATTGGAGAATAGCTTGACTCCCTCTTCTTTATGGCAACCACTTAGATATTGAAACACTGCTATCATGTCACCCCTAGTCCTTCTCTTCATTAAACTAAACATATCCAATTCCAGTAACCATTCTTTATATGTTTTAGCCTCCAATCCCCTAATCATCTTTGTTGCTCTTCTCTGTATTCTTTCAGAGTCTCAACATCTTTTTTACATTGTGGTAACCAAAACTGGATGCAGTATTCCAAGTGTGGCCTTACCAAGGCATTATAAAGTGGTATTAACACTTCTCGTGATCTTGATTCTATCCCTCTGTTAATGCAGCCTAGCACTGTGTTGGCTTTTTTGGCAGCTGCAACACACTGCTGGCTCATATTTAAGTGATTGTCCACTAGGACTCCGAGATCCCTCTCACAGTTAGTACTTTTAAACAAGGTACCACCTATACCAGTGATGGCAAACCTTTTAGAGACCGAGTGCCCAAACTGCAGCCCAAAACCCACTTACGCATCGTCGGATGCCGGGTGAATGTGGCCCATTGGGTGGGTGTGGCCCATTGGGTGGGCGTGGCTGTGGTGGTAACAGCAGACTGGGTGGGACTAAAAAGTT